CTAACCCAAGCCATGCCCGAGGCGAAGTCTCAGACTAAGCTTAAGCCTAAACTAGCCTAAGCCCAAGCTAATCCTAATCCTAAACCTAAGCCTGGAGTTGAGTCGAAGTCTGAGTCTAGGATTTTTAACCATTCTCTACGGAATGATGATTTTTAATGCGGCAAACATTAACATAGATTTACTTAGAACACCCATTCTACCATTTAATATTTGCCTGGGTATTTCCGTTAGTTCAGGTACACCGAACCGGTTAATCCGCCGCCTATACCCATATTTTCATCGTACCGCCTCTTAACTCCTTCCAGACATGTTCGGAAGACAAATACGCATTCGGGCACTCTATAGATTGACCTACTATTCAACGTGTTGACAAGGGTTTTGCCATTTTGTCCTCTCTCTCTCTCTCTCTCTCTCTCTCTCTCTCTCTCTCTCTCTCTCTCGCTTTCTCAGACGGCCCTCGCCAATTTTTGGTCCGAACCCGCTCCTGCGTGCCAGGAATTCCGAGAATTTCCTGCGTCGTCCTGACCACCCTCATCCGGGAATGGAGAATCTCTCTCGTTTGCATGAGAAATGCCGCAACATTTTTTGGAAGTGAATTCTGGATTTTTCCTAAATCAGGAAATACTGGAAGTTTCGAAATGTTAGGCTGAAGAGAGAGGGAGAGAGAGAGGTGGAGCCACAGAGAGAGAGAGAGAGAGAGAGAGAGAGAGAGAGAGAGAGAGAAAGAGTGAGAGAGTTCCAGCCTCCACACAATTGTGCAAAAACTCCACTCTAAATTTTCTGAATCTGAAATTCCAATTTTGTCACTTCAAGGTGCCAATTTTGGCCTTGTTTACGAGAAGCTCCCCCTAAAATTCGCGAAAGGATTAAGGGCAAGTAAGTGCCAAGTCCAATTATCAGAATATCACACAGAATATTTTTCGGGCGAAAAGCCGGGCCCAGGTTGACGAGGAACAACAACCGGAATCCATGATTATGGCCCACTCGGCGGCAGCTGTCCATGAATCGGAATCGCCAAGTATTGTGGCCACCCAACGCAGATGAACCAAAAGTTCCTAGAAAATGCCACATTTTTTTGTTGTGTTTCAGCCAGCCAAGTTCGTTGTTCTTTTGAAAGATTTAATCGTCCAAAAAAGCGACAAATTTAGGAGAATTGAGTTTAAATTTTGCAGTTTAGCCTGTTTTAAAGCTACTTGATGAGCTTATTTCGCCTAAACGTGGGACATTTTTGACCATCCGCATCTCCTAGACGTTCAGAGATGATTGATTTTTTATTGTTTATCGGCCTTTCAAAGTGCATAACTTTTAATAAGGTTGTCTCCTTTAAGAGTTAAAATTTTCAATGTTCACGGTCTCCACGCCAACTCCAAGTTGTCCAACTACAAATCCATTGTTGTTTGTTTATATTTAGGGCCGCCGCGTGGGGGGGTGGGCTTCGGGCGACACGTTTTTAGGTGTTTTCGTAATTCCAAAAAGTTTGAAGTAGGATTCTTTTCGAGCTCGACGCTTTCAGGAACCGAAACGCTTGAAAATCGGACTTACGGATTTATGATTTTCAACCTAAGGATTTTCTCTTTCTGTTTTTTTTATGTGTTTTCATAGCTCGTTAGCGTTCTAAAAAGTTGTGAAAGGCTCTAAAAACTTTATAAACCAAGATGTTGCCCCCGCCGGCCCTCTAATCCTGACCGATCTCCCCCTCCGGGCCGCATCAATCATTTCTGGAAAAAGCGCCGAGGCGGGCGGCTGACACCCGACAGCCGCTACTGCCCTATTGGCTGCTCTTTGGCTGTAGAATTCTTGTCTGATTTTCACATGGCTAAGAGGTGGGGTGTCAAAGAAGTCGGCCCGGACTTTCGATTTCCTTTTTCATTTAGGTTATGTTTTCCAGTTGTTTTTCCCTGAAAATGATTTTGATTTTGAGTGAATTTTGATTTTAAGGTGCCAAGTCAAAATTCACGTTACGAAAATTTTACTAAATTATCTCAATCAATCCATCAATCCAGGTCTGCTCAAAATTTGGTGAGCTGCAAATTAGCCTTAATTTTATCGGGTCATGAGTGATGTCTGACCCACCAGGTACACAGTACCGAACTTCCCCGGATTTTGAATCACTAAATAGCCGGCCGGCCACCAAAACATGAAATAAATCTACATAATCCCCCCCCCCCCAATCTCGCCCGGGTTTCGTCCAAAATCCCTAGATCCCAACGCACGCCCATTCACGGCTTATCCCCGACGAACCTCCCACCCGGCCCCAAAATTCTACTGATTAGTTTTTGAGGTATCGTAGAGTATTCAGATGATTTAAGTTGGCTAGGCTTTTTTATTAAAATTTTAAATTATTAATTTTTATGAATAAATTGCTGTTTTCCATATTTCCGAGCTTTAATTGTGATCTTCAAAACTTGGGCGAGTTGGCGATGCGGATTTTTGCGCTGATTTTTCCGGAATTCAAATTTGCAGCTGCTGCTCCTGAATTTTCTTGATTAGCTGTAAATATTCAAGAGGCGGGTTCAGCGCAGAGACTAGAAGTTTTGACCAAATGCATCTGGAATCTTTAATTGGGGGATTTGATGTAAATGTGGTTTATTTATGACTTGCTTAGGCTTGGGCTTGTGCTTAGGCTCAGGCTTAGATTAGCCTACGCTTAGGCCTAAGCTTTAGACTCCACTTAGGTTTAGCCTTAGTTTAGGCTTAGACTTCGACTAAGATTTCGGACTCGGCTTCGACATCGGCTTCGGTCCAGGCTTAGGCTTAGGCTTAGGCTTAGGATTAGGCTTCAACGTCAACATCTCAAAGCCCAAATCTCAACCAACATTGTCATCTTTCAAAGCCCATAAAAACGGCGGATTTTCATGAATCCCGCGGGGGTCTCTACTGCTGGACGTACTGCTCTACTGCTGGACTGCGTGATAGATCATCGGAGGAGCGGAAGAATATATTCGGGGGGCACCAGCTCTTTTCACCCTCCGCTCACTTACACTTTTATGGGCTCCCCGTCGCATCGCATTCCCGAATGTTTCCGCCGGGAATTTCGGGCGGCCAACTTTGGTGACCAATAAGTGTTGTCTCTGGGTGTCTGGCTTCAAGGAAGTGCGCTAACAAGGGAAGTGCACGACCGGCCCACGAGAAATCGACACCCGACATAGTGGATCTGATAGAATCGGACACGGGGATTCCGAATCTGTAATCAGAATTTGCTAAATAAAACGGAGAAAAAAGTTATGAAGCTTCAAAGTTGGCCAAATCGCCAAAAACCGTACCTTTAAGGGCCCGTAAATACCGGTGGAACGGAATTGAGGAGAAAAGAATTAGTGCAGCTTGTTCAGCAGAAAAAGCGCTTTCGAATGAACTGTAATACGTAGCATTTGCAAACAATTCACTGAAAAAAGTTTTTTTGGATTCACGGGCAAGGGTATGGCCTGTCAAGTTCATAGAAGAGATTTTCGCGAAATCATCGTAAACTTGAAGTAAAATAGCTCATTCGAAAGTGCTTTTTCTGCTGAACAAGATGCACTAATGGGTTGTGGCCAATTTCCATTCCCTGGGCCTTTACAGGCCCATAAAAGTCCGATTTTGGGCGATTTTGCCAACTTTGAAGCTTCATAACTTTTTTCTCCGTTTTATTTAGCAAATTCTGATTACAGATTCGGAATCCCCGTGTCCGATTCTATCAGATCCACTATGTCGCGTCTCGATTTCTCGTGGGCCGGTCGTGCACTTCCCGTGTAAGACTCGAAAAGTGGCCAGGATTATGGGGACAAAACAACAAACATTGAGTCGCCAAAACTGCCACTGGGTTATAATTTAAATTTCTAGTTTGCAATCTTAACATAATGTGGAATTAGAATTACGACCTTTTTCCCCCGCTCTCTGACATACGCGCTAGTTATGCGTCCGCTGCTTTCTCATTCTCACCAAATCTGGCGATGCGAGAAAGGGGTCAACTTTATGCGCTGTAGCGAAGAATCGACTTGCGCTTCTAGCATTTTCCTGACCTTTTTGACGCTTAGTTTGTTGCCGCTTCATCAATGTAACAATGTTTTCTCTGTCTCTCCATCCAAGCCTAGCTTCTAACGGGCAATTTTTTTTTACCCTTATTATTCCGTGCCAGAAATGCCATTTTACGCCTCCGCATGCTGGAATTTTGAGATTCGTAGAATCGGGCAATTAAAATTGGGAAAGCTGAACCCGGGCAACAACCGTGTCCCACGATTTCTCACGTCCGCAGCATTTCCTGGCAGCCGGCTACCTGGCTAAAAGTCATAAAAATGCCTCTTGCACGCTTCACCGCCCCGTCAGATCCACCAGTCCATGCGCTCCCGTTCCCAAATGCGTACTAACAACGTGATTCCATGACGAATCAAAAGGGGGGAAGGCTGACCAATTCGGTGTATCTAATGGCTTCCCTTCGACCCGCCCTCACAATACATGGAAGGAGGTAAAGACGGAAACCCACTTGTGGGGCCTTTTTCGGACCTTCCTGAGCCCTACCCATTCTCCTGCCCTAATGCATAGGCTTAGGCCTTTGTGGAGGAAATTTTCGGGGTTAAGCTGCAAAACGGCGCACGGGAAACGCTTTTTGGAGCTTATAACTTTTGAAGGGTTGCAGAATTTCCGGATATGATTTTGTCTCCCTCCCGCTCTCTCTCCCGCTCTCTCTCTCTCTCTCTCTCTCTCTCTCTCGATCTCACTCTCTCTGTTATCCTCTGACTTTTTCCAATCAACTAAAATTTTAATTTGCATCCCTTCCCCATCTCGGCCATTTTTATGGGCACTTCTAGCGCGAAGTGCGTGGGGCCCTCCCTACTCACTCACCGGCTTCTGATGCGAAAATGACCCGTCGATGCCCCGGGGGCTTGAGTCCGGGATAAGTGCGCCGAGTTCCCCCCATTTTCCGTCTCGTCAATTTTGGCCGCATTGTTCTCCCGTGTTTTCTAATTGTGGTGCTCTAGGCCAAAAAAAGCTTATTTTTTCCAGGGTTTTTGGTCAGCCAGACTATGGAACAACCGTCGTTGGCCGGGTATGAGTGCGACGAGATCAGCACGATTATACAGGATCAGGTGGGAAAAAGAGCGTGTGTAAGAGAGAGAGAGAGAGAGAGTGAGAGAGAAAGAAAGAGAGAGAGAGAGAGAGAGAGAGAGAGAGAGAGAGAGAGAGAGAGAGAGAGAGAGAGAGTAAGAGATCCAGGAAGCAGGAAACCGGTCATGTCCAAGTTTTTTATTCTACTGAGATAGACTCTAGCGCGATGGGTGTGAGAAAAGCAGCCCCAATTTGCATCCAAAATCAGGGCACTGGGAACGTCAGCGGCCAGCGAAACGTACTATAACTGGAAAAAGGAGGAGAAGGGGCCGAGATCTGACCTTTAATGCATTAATGAGAGCTTGTTATGAGCATCAATAATACCTTAATATCGATGAGCTCAAGCTCCTGTTCAAAAAAGGTTAAAGTGCTCTATAAAAGTTGCGTTGATGACTTGAATTTCAGAATTCCCACTTCTGGAGTCAACTCCCTGGCAGCAACATTGTCGTCCTCATCTACGCATTTGTGTGCACATTTGGAGCAACCGCAAATCTGGTCGTGCTCATTGCATTTTGCAAGAATGCCAGTTTGCGGACGATGCGGAACCGGTGAGTCAGAAAGTAAGTGTGAGAGAGCGAGGGAGAGAGAGCAGAGAGCGGTAGAGAGCAACAAAAACTTCGCATTTTCAGCTTCATCGTCAACTTGGCTTTCTCCGACCTCCTCCTGTGCGTCGTCACAGCTCCGGCGTTTCTATACCTTTCTGCGAATTCATACTGGCCGTTCGGGGATTTGTCGTGTAAAACGGTGAGCTAGCGATAAAGAGCCAAAGAGAGAGAGAGAGAGAGAGAGAGAGAGAGAGAGCGTGCGAGAAAAGCCATATTTCCAGGTGGCAGCCGTGCAAGCCGTGAACACGTTCGTGTCGTCGTTAACTCTGGCAGTAATCGCTCTCGATCGAGCGCTTCTGACGATCTGCCCGGTGCAGTGGTGAGTAGCTTGTCATTAGTGCACGAGATTAGGTCGTCTTTTTTTCTCCATTGCTTATTGCTATTTTAATTTTTTTTTTTCAGGAGAGTTGCTTCTACCGCCCCGTTGATCTTCTTCTCGATCGTTTGGGTGCTATCAGCCATGGTCGCCATTCCCTACGGGTTTGCCGTCAGCGCGGTCCCGATGGCGCACGGAACGTGGGCAAATCCGGACACGATAGAGACCGTAGGTTTCCAGGATCGCGTTTTCTCTCGCGCGCTCTCTCGCTCTGTCTCTTATCACGTTCTTCCATTCCTTGTATGCCGATTGCACAAACTAACTTAGACAAACCACATTTTAGGTCGCCAAATGCGGAATCGAGGTCCCGAGGATATGTCAGGAAAACGAAGCTCTATGGAATTTAATGCCGGTTACAAGATTATCGTATACCACAATTGGTATGCATTTTCTAATCAATATTTTACGGGTTTTTTTAGTTTTTGCAATTCAATATTTATTGCCACTTTCTTCATTGTTATACGCGTATCATCAAATCGGGTCTACCATCAGGTACATAAGCTTTTTGACAACTCGCTATTCCTCTCTCTCTATCTCTCTTCCTCTATCTCCCGCTCTCTCGCTCTCTCTCTCTCTCTCTATCTCTCGCGCTGTCTCTCTCTCGCTCCTCCTCTCTTGCTATCTCCCCGATTCCTTAACAGCCAAATCCAGATTTTCAATATGTTCTAGGAAACGCAACAAAACCGCTAAGCCGCTAGATGCTTCAAGGAGAAGCTTGCTTCAGACGAGAAAAAGGCATGAAAAACTTTGTAATTCCAAAAATTCCCTTTAGAAGAGCTCTTCTACTCCTAATCGTCCTAGTCGTCACCTACGCAATTGCTTGGGCACCGATGAACCTATACAACATCTTGAGCAACATGGAGTATATCAACTTTAACCAATATCAGTAAGTTTTTCTGATCTAGCTTGGTCTTTGAGGCTTAACTGTAGGTTTACTTACGCTTAGATTTTGTCTAGGGCTTAAGCAAAACGTTTAAAACAATTTTTAGATACGTCTTCTGCCACCTGATCGGCATCTCCTCGGCTTGCGTGAACCCGATCACGTATGCGCTGGTCAACGAGAATTTCCGGAACGCACTTCATCAAGTTTTCTCGTGAGTTTTTCGCTTTCTCTCTCTCTCTCTCTCGCTCTCGCTCTCGCTGCATAAGTTATTAATCAAGTTCGTGAGATTGGAGTGAAGCTCTCGCTCTTTTTGATTGCGAGCCCGGCTGGTTCCCACGCAAAACTGGGTGAAATGGTGTTGAACAGCCTATTAATTGGACCCGGAAGTAGGAGCGAGAGGGAGAGAGAGAGAGCGAGAGAGAGAGAGAGAGAGAGAGTAAGAGAGAGATAAAAAACAGAGGGGAAAAATCGATAAAACCTAAAAACCCAAAATCCAATTTCAGATGGATCCCATGTTGTACGACTACAATCGACACCAACAGCCAATTCCGTGCCTTCCAGGTATGATCTTTTACTGCTTACCTTTTTAAAGTTCTTATCAACTCTAACGAACCATTATACCGAACCGTTTTTAGTATACCAGGGTAGCGCTAATAGTCGGTAAGTGGTCAGGTCGTCCGGCTAAAGGCCTAGACACCGAGAAATATCTCGACTTCTTTGTCTATATAGTACAAATGTCGTCCATCTATCCTCCTACAAAAATAATGTCTCTGCTCTGGAAAACCTATACAATCTCATACTAACAAACCAATTTTCTGGATACTAATAACGTACACAAAAATGCCAAAAATCGCACTAGCCCGATGTGTAGTTCATGAATTTTCCACAGATTTTGAGTGACTATTTAGAGCCTGGGCATCCCCCGCGGCGCTCTTCATTTCTCTCTCTCTCTCTCCCTCTCTCTCTCTCTCTCTCTCTCTCTCTCTCTCTCCCTCTCCCTCCCTCCCTCTCCCTCTCTCTCTATCCGAAACCCCGCCTAACCCTGGAAACTTCTCCGTCGTCACTATGATCCACCTAAACTGTAACTACTAACGCTAAAACTTCAATTTTCAGCCCACCCCCTTCCCAAAGAATGCTGTCAGCCACAACAGCATGTTGGCTCTGGGGGAGACGGAGAAGAGTATGACGAATCTGAGCAGCCCCTATGAGCAGGCCGGCAGTCCGATGGCCGGCATTTGAAGGTCAGGAAAGATTTGCAGGCGCAAGCCCAAGCCTTAGTCTGAGGCTAAGTCTAAGCCTAAGCCCAAGCCTAGGCCTAAGCCTAAAAACTTTCGAATTTTTTACCCTCTGTCATTTTCAGCCGCCCGAGACGCGATTTGAAGAATCTACAGGCTTCCGGATGCTTCTACCGACCATAAGCTTCAAATCCGGAAAATAAACAAATTCCTAGTTTTTTTTTGTTTTTTCCTCTCTCGGGTCCCCAACTATTTTCGAATCAAAATGTCTAGTTGACCAATTTTGTTTTGAATTCTCAATGTCAAAATTTTACTACGGGTCACGCTCTTGCTTTACTTGTGCCGTTTTGCCTCCCGACAAAAACAGTGCGTGTGCTTTCAGGCGAGTTTTGCATTAATTAAAATAATTATCATGGTCTTTTATGCCGATAAACCTACAGAAAAATGCAGCAAAAAATGCGCCTGCAGCAAAAAATATATGCACAAAAGGTGGCAGGCCATTTTTGACAAAAGTAAGAATTCATATCGGCGAGAAAGGGCTATTTCTGAAACAGCAATAATACGGCAAAAACATAATAATTTATGCGGCGCATTCGTACAGAGTATAAACCCGAAAATCGCAATTTTGGCGATCACTATTTTTTGGCGCGATGCGAGGTTTGGCTATGATATTTTTCCTGTCGATTTTTGGCTTAACTTTGGCGAACCCGAGACATAAACGGTACAGTTCTGCGATCTGGATTTTTGACTCTATACGTATATCATTTTGTATGTATCAAAAAATACAACGATAATTACGAAAAAGATCCCCATCCTGGTTTTAAGACTATTTTGCAGCAATCCGGAAGTTCACCGGAATTGCTACTACAGCCCAGTGGCCTGCTACTTCGGCCCGAAACCCAGGAAACAGAACCCGCCGCAGATACAGCGGAGGCTAAGGTACAGATCTGAAACCCATGCCTAAGCCTCTGCCTAAGCCTAAGCTTAAGCCTAACGACTTTTAAGCCTAACCTAAGCACTAAGCTTAAGCCTAAGCCTAAGCCTAAACCTAAACCTAATCCTAGGCATAAGCCTCCATTCCAGAATCGGCACGAAGCGGCCTCGTTGGGGCCCAGGCGGTGTGGCCGGATTGGAGACCGACCCGAAGATTCCAAGCTTCGGAAAACATTGAATAAAAAGCCAAGATTGTTTATGGTTTTTCAAAAACCATTCGACACTTTATCTACATCAGATTTTTGTGCATCAAAAACTTTGGGTTGACGCGGTAGTTGGGGCACGCTGCCCGCTGGCCTTTCCCTTGGCAGTATTCGTAGTAGGTGTCCTGAAAAATGCTGAATTGCATGAAAGAAAATCAATCAACCCACCCCTGTATATTTGAAGATGTTACAGATCAAGACGCCGGCGTTGTAGTCGCACGCCTTCGCGTAGATGAGCGAATTGCAGGAGATGAACTTGTTGAAGGCGCTGAAAGTGAGAGAATTGAAGGCGATCGCGGCATATCGAACTTCTCGAACACGAGAAGTGCAGCCAACGAGAGCGTCCAGGGAGTGAAAGCCATGGAGAGAGAAAGAGAGAGAGGGAGAGAGGGAGAGAGAGAGGAATAGAGAAAAATAGAGAGAATCCTCAATTTATGACTGACTCGCAAAGCTGCATCCCGTGGAGGTCGTGTTCTAGATCGGTGCGGCATTGCTGGATCTTGTCTGCTTGGTTGGCTTGAGTCGCGCGGATGCAGTAGAACTCGTCGAAGAAAACTGTAAACGTTTTGATTTTCAGCGTCAGTCTCTTCTCTCTTTCTCTCTCTCTCTCTCTTCCTCTCTCTCTCTCTCTCTCTCTCTCTCTCTCTCTCTCTCTCTCTCTCTTTCTCGCTCCCCTCCTCACTTTGAGCTCCAGCTCCACATTCGTAGTCACGGGTCGCAATCTCGGCTTGATAGAGGTAGGATTCAGAGTTATTCTTCCCGACCACAATATGGTTGTAGCAGTTGTAATCGATCGGGTACATCGTCGCGTTCAGGCAGGAGTTGAGCACTCGGCTATGTCTGAAAAAGCGAGCTGCTCTCACTCCCTGCCTCTCTTCCCTCTCTCTCTCTCGCTCTCTCTCTCCTCTCTCTCTACTTACGCGCACATATCCTGAGCTGCTTGCCTGCCCTGCTGATCGAACTTGTTCGACATGGCCGTTTCCACGAAGTTGTATGGAGGCAAGGTGCCATTAACAGGGGTTAGGCCGTAATAATGAAGAAATGGGGTGTAGCATTGGACGATGGCTGCCTGGGTGGTCGCATCGCAGTCGGCGGCAACGAGTTGAAGGAGGGCAACTAAAAAAGCTAAGTTAGCAGTTAGGAATTTTGAAAGTTTTTGGGCTTCCATTGTCTAGTGAAACCTGACGGTAAGAGAGATAGAAAGAGAGGAAGAGCGAGAGGAAGACAGAGAGTGGGCGAGGGAGAGTGAGAAAGCGACAAAGATAGAGAGAAAGAGAAGGAGCAGGGGGAAGAGAAAGATATATTTCTTGACTCACCGAAACAACAAATCCGGAACAGCATGGCGAACGTCTAGGTTTCGAGCGGCCAAGTTGACACTTATCAGCAACTGTCTGGGTGCAGGCTTTATAGAAATACAGGGTGTAGATGGATGTATCTGATAAGGAGAGGGCCATGCTGGGAATCGTGCTATTGCCAGACGTGCCGCACCCGATATCGGGGAATCCCGTCACTAAAAATCGCCAAAATGACGCGATCTGACCGGCGGGGCTGATCTTTCGGTATTCTCACGCAATAGCATGATTTTCCGGGTACGCGTTGCGTATCCATTTCGTATTCTTGGGGACAGAAAGATGCTGTAATCTGCGACATTCAACAAGAGCGCAACGTGGCTGTCCATTTAGCCAAGTGTCGTAGTGGTCCATGGTAGCGTTTCGCGAGCGATCAAGCAACCCGATTGTTTTCTAGATTTATACCAGCTCGCAAAACCCCCTACGCGCTTTTCGAGTGCTGGGATTGCTGCCGGATGTTAGATAGAAGTTAAATTTGACATGATCCGTCAATGCGAAAAAAATTAGAACCGGCTCTATCACATGCGGCCCTTTAACGCAATTCAAATGATTCTTAGAGCAATTTTTAAAGTTTTTAGCTATAAAAAGCTCGCAACAAATAAAAAAATTTTTGCAACGTTTTGGGCAAAAATATATGAAACATGGCCGACGAAAAAGTCAACATTTCCGAATTTTCAAAAATTTGAAAACTTGTTATAACTCTCCAGCAATTCAAGGCCAAACAATCACGACAAACATACATAATAGGTGAACAAAAGGTAAATCAAGTTTAGTTTTCCGCCATTTTACCATTCCCCGGTTCCCCCCGCTAACAGTCCAGTGGCGAAAATAGATATCAGTTACTTCTCCGGCGCTTTTAGCCAGCTTGTTCTTTTTTTTGGCTAATATACTTAGGTAAAGGTGGTATTCAATAATATTTATGCTTTTTATTTTGTATGTACAAGCATCAAGCAAGAATAAAAATGCCTTCGGGCTAACCAAAAATTTTGGATTGCATCGGTTGTTGGGGCATTGGTGCAGCTGGTCATTCCGCTCACAGTAGCCGTAGAGGGTGTCCTGAAAAAGCCATGGGTTTTCTCGTAATTTTTAATTTGTCCTTTCGACCTTCAACTTGGCCCACTTAACGGGAACCTACCCCTGAAAACCGGAAGAGGCGGCACATCAGCACACCGGCGTTGAAGTCGCAAGCCGTTGTGTAGATGGCCGTGTTACACGAGACGTACGGCTCAAGTCTAGGAAACCCCCCCAGCCGACTTTTCAACTTTTCTACCTTCCTTATTTTTATTTTTCGCTACTTTTTTCGACTGAACTGCAATGTAGTCTTACTAATTAGCCTACGGCGAACATTTTGGTATACAGGGTGGCCCAAAAAAAAACAACAGGTTTGGGCGCGTTTATCTCGAGAACCTTAATGAATTCATGGTGGGTTGATGGCTGAAAACCATTTTCTCGGCCTGGAAAAGAAATTAAACACAACTTTATTTTTCGATTTTTGGCGACGTATCAATACAAATGACACCCGAAAACTGTGCGTTCGGGGAAGTTTAATTTGTATTTTTCTCAGCCGCCTGTGGCAGGGGATTTCTAATTTTTGCTGTGTAAAATCTTGTAGGCATTAGATAGATACATGCAAAATTTTGGAATTTTTGAAGGTCAGGTTGGCAAGTTATAGCGTGCTCAAATTTAATATGGGGAAATTTCGTAAAATTCGAATATTACAAAATCCTATGGTGGAAACCTCAAAAGAAGCTGTTTTAGCATGTCTATAAGCTCGATACAATCCCGCAACAATATCAAAAATTTTTTTCAGATCCGCGGATTTTTGAGTTTTTCGACGACCCCCTGGTCATGGATTTTTTCGAGGTCACGAAACTGAACTTTGGAAACATATTTCTAAAATTGCAGATAGAATTTCCATGTTTGCTTTGCTTAGTTGTGTAGGACTGGGGTCCATCTATCACGTAGACAATTTCTAGCTACCGTACCCATTTGGAAGGCTGCTTTTTTAGCGCCTCCCAAACGGTTGGTTCGTGCTATTTCGCAGACCTTGGTGCCAATCTATAAAATTCAGTTGCACGGCTAGAATTATTGTCATAATTTTATTTGATATTACTTAATTGGCGCATTCTAAAATTATATTTACAAATTTATTGGGCCATCCAATCTCTCAAAAGTAATTCATTAAGAGCCCGAATATACCCGAATTCGAGGCGACGTAAAAAATTCTCGAGGGTTTAGTAGCCCCGACTTTTCTGGCATAAACTCAGCTCGGGTAGTCAACTAGAACCCATGCAAATACAAAGCCTTTTCATGGCAAACGAATTTAGAAGAGCTCCCCAAAGTCGACTTTTCAAAAGCGTTGTTTTCGGGTTTTAAATCAAAATAAACCATTCACTTCAGCCAGATCATTCCAGAATTCTATTGGCATGCACAGTTCAATACGTGCTTTAATTGTATCCACGAAACTCCGGTGATTTTTTCATTTTCAAAAATTCGATTTTCGGCCGGGGGCATCCGGTCCAAAATGGGGCCCCGAGGAGAGTTTTCCTCTTTCCTTCATAACTTTGTCATTTGCCAAAGGAATCAAGTAATTTTTTGTAGGTGCTTTTACATTCACCCAGAGAACAGTCTAGAATAGAAAAATTGGCATTTTATGGAATTTTGTCTTGGCATGCTAAAACGCGCTCTAGGCGGGTTACGGTAGAAAACAGAAAATCGTCGTTTTCTCGTTCTTTTCACCATAGAAACGTTTCGATCTTTTGGAAAAACAAATAATAGTAGTTTTTAGTCCGATGCATCGAAGTATTTAGAAATTTCCGTGGCTAAATTCAAAAATAAGTTTTTTGCATATTTTGGGAAGGTATATGGCTAGAACTCCACGATCTTTGGCCAATAGGTGACCCTTACTGGTGTTTACCAATGGAAAAATTTTAAGCAAAATCGCAGCATACGATAAAAAGAAAAACGCGAAAAACCAAAACTACAGTATCCCTCTGGGGCACGTTTTAGCAAGCAATATTAAAATACCATAGAATCGGGTAAAATTTGGTGTTGTGCTAAGGATTATCATTTGGAGACACCATCTGCAAAAGATCAGCCATGGGCAGCGTATTTTAAGAGAGTTGCGAATTAAAACGTAAAAAGATGCAAAATAGTGAAATTTGTGTTACTTCTAAAAAATGAAATTGACCTCGATAAATTCTAAGATTTTGCCATTACATTTCAACAAACATCAGCTATTTTTAGGCCAAAAATCAGAATTCTCCCACCTCCCGTTCAAGAACGCACAATTTTCGGTCGTAACCAGCGTCAATAGTACAGTTGCGTACTCAAAAATCGAAAAAATCAAGTTGTGTTTTATTTCTTTTCCAGGCCGAGAAAATGGTTTTCAGCCATCAACCCACCATGAATTCATTAAGGTTCTCGAGATAATCGAGCCCAAACCTGTTGTTTTTTTTTTGGGCCACCCTGTACTTTAGAGCTCGCTAGCACAAAGGGGGGGCGAGATACAAAAGTTGGTGTCGGCTGGGGGGGGGGTTTTCTAGACTCTTACCAGACGTACTTGTTGTAGGCGCTGAAAATTTCGTTGTTACAGGGAAGGCGAGAGAGATAGAGAGCGAGAGAGAGAGAGCGAGAGAGAGAGAGAACTGACTTGCAGGCGGCCATCCCATGGTTGAGGTCATGTTGGAGATCGGTTTTGCAGTCCTGGATCTTGCCGGCCTGGTGGAGTTCAGTGGGGGTTCAGTGAAGTTGGGGTTGCTCTCTCTCTCTCTCTCTCTCTCTCTCTCTCTCTCTCTCCCCTCTCTCGCTCCCCCTTTCTCCTTCTCTATCTCGTTCTCTCTTTCTCTCTACTTACGCGCACATATCCTGAGCTGCTTGCCTGCCCTGCTGATCGAACTTGTTCGACATGGCCGTATCCACGAAGTTGTACGGAGGCAGAGTACCGCTAACAGGGGTTTGGCCGTAATAATGTAGAAACGGAGCTTAGCATTGTACGATGGCAGCCTGGGTAGTAGCATGACAGTCCGCGGCAACGAGTTGAAGGAGGGCGACTAATCAGCTTGATTAGCAGGTTAAAGAGGCTGCGAATTCTTGAAACTTTCTGGGTTTCAAATGGCTAGAGGGGGTCAGAAAGGGATAGCGAGAGAGAGAAAGGGCGAGAGAGAAGGAGAGAGAGCGAAAGAGACCCACCGAAAGCACAAATCCGGAACAGCAAGGCGAAGGTCTAGGTTCGGAGCGCCTAACTTGAGACTTATCAGCGACAGTCTGGGTGCAAGCTTCATAGAAATTTGGGGTGTAGATGGATGTAGCTGATAAGGAACGAAACGTGCTTTTTCCAGACGTCGGGGGATTGGGGAATCCCGTCACAAAGAATATACACAATGACGCGATATGTACAGGGTGTCCCAAAAAAAACGACCCATCTGGCATTTCGCCGTGTTACATCCAACCGGTCCCAAATTTGGACCATAGGTGTATCAGACCCTAAATAACAACAATCCTGACTTATAGCCCGGTAGCTACAGTCGTTCTCGAGTTATAGCAAAAACAAACTTTATTTTCCATTTTTCATAGGGTTTTCGTGGAATTAGACCCCTAGACATTAAGTGAAAATAATCTGGTAGGCCTTCTTTACCGTAAGAAAATTTTTCCAGAGTAAAATTAATTAAATAAGCTTCGATTTAAGCGATTTATACAACGAAAAAACTACCCCAGTTCTTAAGCGAAATTAGGGATTCGCGGCCGGAAGTCGATGCAAATCGATGCAAAGTCCAAAAAGATAGCCGATAAAACTGTTCAGAATTCCGGGAAAAAAAAGTATTTTCGCTATACCTCGAGAACTACTGTAGCTATGGGGCTGTAAGTCAGGATTGTTGTTATTTAGGGTCTGATACACCTCTGTTCCAAATATGGGACCGATTGGATGTAACCCGGCGAAATGCCAGATGGGTCGTTTTTTGGGACACGTTTTTCTCTTTGATCTTTCGATATTCTCATGCGAAAGGATGACATTTCGGGTACGATCATTGTGTTCTGGGATGATTCTAAGGGTCTTTAGACCCTTTGGTTAACAAGGAATGGCGATTTTTTGAAATTGTCAGTATCTCCAAGTTTTTTTGAAGCCAGAAAGGAATTAGCGAAGCGGTAAATTCTACCCTTCCTTGTCACTGGTTCTAGACAGCCCCCGCGTTTCTTTAAAAATCATGTGGTAAAAATTGATATATCATTCAATTTTCTGTTCTGGAGCTGAGAAAAGCATACTGTAGGTCCTCAACTAGCCTCACGCTTAACGTTCCTTTTGTATATCGATTCAAGGATAAATCGGATTCCAGGCCCCCGGCGATTCAATTTTGATTTGAGAAACGCTTTCGTATCTCGCCTATTTCAACGGTTTATTTCAGAACACCGATTTTTAAAACACAATCGGCCGAATCAAAAATTTCGGGTTGACTCGATAGTTGGGGCACGGCGTCAGCTGGCCGTTGTTGTCGCAGTAATTGTAGACGCTGTCCTGGAAGCAAAAATTAAACGTTGGTTGAAGATGCTATCTTGAACGGATGTTAGAAATCAAAAGCTACCAAAGATATCGTGAACAGGTTGCAGATCAAGACTCCGGCATTGAAGTCGCACGCCTTGGCGTAGATGACCGAGTTGCAGGAGATGTACTTGTCGTAGGCCCTGGAAATCGATATAGAGAGCCAAAACGAGAGAGAGAGAGAGAGAGAGAGAGAGAGAGAGAGAGAGAGAGAGAGGGTGGAGAGGCAGAGGCAGAGAGGAAGAGAGAGAAACTGACTTGCAAACAGCCATCCCGTTATTGATGTCATTGTTCAAATCTGTCTGACATTGCTGAATCTTATCAGCATTGTTGATTTGAGCAGCGCGAGAGCAGTAGAACTCGGCAAAGAAAACTGAAACAGAATGTATACTTACCTCTTTGTTTCTCTTTCTCGCCCTCTCTCTCTCCATCTCTTTAGCTCTCTATCTCTCTGTCACTCTCTCGCTACCTTTCTCGCTCTCTCTCTCTCGCTCACCTTGCGCACCGGCTCCGCATTCGTAATCATGAATCGCCGCGTCCTCCATGTAGAGATAAGACTCAGAAGTGTTTTGCCCAACCACAATATGGTTGTAGCAAGCCGAATCGATCGGGTACATCGTGGAGTTCAGGCAGGTATTCAACACCTGGGTGTGTCTGTAAAGCGTACCTACAGTAGCGGACAAAAGTATTGGGATTTTTTATTTTTGACAAAATCTCGGGAGTTTTAGCTCGAGGTGGGCTCAAAAGCGGGTCTCGAGTAGAATTCGAGACGCTTTTTCATATGCAATTTGCTAAAACAGGCCACTCCATAGTACAAGAAAATTCAGTAAAAATTTCAGAAATCTCGACGACAAAAGTATTGGGATTTTTCTTTCCGAAGCCTAGAAAACGAGTTAGCAACCTCGCAGAGCGCTTTTATTGATGGGAGGGGTCAACAACAGCTGAAATTTGCATTTCTCGTAGGCGATTCCATCCCCAAAGCGTTGAGGAATTTTTTAGAAATCTCGATTTTACTATGAAAAAATGCTTTTTTGCCTCTAACTCTTTGAATATACTTTTAACGCCAATTTGCTTTATCTAGTAGGATAGAGCAGCTAAAGACAATCATTTTGATATGCTATAGCCACCAGGAAACTGGCTCCTCGCAGAGTTACATAGGGTCCAATTTTTCACTCGGCGGCGCTCATACTAAAGTGGGGCTCTTTCTCTATGAAAAGAACACCCAAACATCCGTGCACAGAACTGGACCATCTCTATCTGCTGGGGCATGGCGAAATGCGAGCGAAAATGATCGCCTTGAGCTGATCTATCCGACTAGATAAAGCAAATTGGCATTAAAAGTATATTTAAAGAGTCAGAGGCAAAAAAAGCAATTTTTCATAGTAAAACCGAGATTTCTAAAAAATTCCTCAACGCTTCGGGGATGGAATCGCCTACGAGAAATGCAAATTTCAACTGTGGTTGACCCCTCTGCATCAATAAAAGCGCTCTACGAGGTTGCTAACTCGTTTTCTAGGCTTCGGGAAGAAAAATCCCAATACTTTTGTCGTCGAGATTTCTGAAATTTTTATTTAATTTTCTGGTACTATGGAGTGGCCGGTTTTAGCAAAATGCATATGAAAAAGCATCTCGAATTCTACTGGAGACACACTTTTGAGCCCACCTCGAACTAAAAATCACGAGGTTTTTGTCAAAAATAAAAAAATCCCAATACTTTTGTCCGCTACCGTAGATATCAATGCATCACCTTCTCACTCTCTCGCTCGCGCTCTCTCCCTCTCGCTCTCTCTCTCTCGCTTTTTCACGCTCTCTCTCTCTCTCTCATCTCTCTCTCTCTCTCTCTCTCTCTCGCTCTCTCTCTCTCTCTCTCTCTCTCTCTCTTAAAACTTACGCGCACATATCCGCGGCCGCCTGCTTTCCCTGTTGATCGAACTTGTTTGACATGGCCGTTGCCATATCCATATAAGGAGGTAGGACACCGTTGCTCGGACTCAACCCATAGTACTGTAGGAATGGCGTGTAGCATTGAACGATGGCAGCCTGGGTGTTGGCATCGCAATCAGCCGCAACAAGTTGGAGGAGCGCTACTGCAATAGCAAGATTACCGTACCTGATTTTGGGTAGTGGATGAAACTTTTTTGAACGGAAATCATAGCTAAACAGTTTACGAAGCAACGTTTAGATAAATAAATCCAATCGAAAAACACCTACAGAAAGCAACACTTCTGAACATCATCGGGATAAGTGGATTCAAGCGCAAGCTTCTACCCGCCCGGCCCGTCAGTACATTTTATACCCATACGCCCAAGCATGATAAATCCAGCTGGGAGGCATTCCTTAGTCGGCCAATCTCATCATTGGCCGCAAAATGAACCCCTTATCTGCGTTCTCCGGTCAGCAACAGGCTGAAGATCGCCGTCTTTCATAACACTTGGCCGTCAGGAGCAGCCGCCCGGAATGAGGTGTGGAAATTTTTGGTCTCTAGGTGGCAGACTAGAAGGTTGTTTGACGAAACAATCTCTTTTTGTCTCTTTCTCTGTCACGCTCTGTCTCTCTCTCTCTCGCTCTCTCTCTCTTTTCTCTGCTCCCCTCTGAAAGTTTTATTCATGGCTTCCCAATTCCGACAAAGAATTTCGGATTCAATCGATAATTCCCGCACGCTGTCAGCTTGCCGCCCTGGTCGCAGTAGCCGACGACGCTGTCCTAGATTTTTCGATCTCGTTTTATAAAATTTTCAGCTTGAGTTTGCGATTATTTTTCCTACCATTCCATGCTGGAATATGTTGCACATCAGCACACCCGCATTGTAGTCGCACGCCTTGGCGTAGATGGCCGAATTGCACGAGATGTACTTGTCGTAAGCTCTACAAAAAGTTCGTAGAGCTCGTAGAGGCCAGATTAGGCGTCGGCTGATGCTTGCGCATAGTCTTAGGATTACTGACTTGCAGAACTCGATGCCATTCGCCAGATCGTTGTTGAGATTGGTGTCACATTGCTGGATGGCAGGCTGATTGTTGTTTCGGGCTGCGCGTACACAGTAGAATTCGGCAAGGTAAACTAAAATGAAAATATTTAGCGTAGGAGGGCCAGAGAGAGCGAGAGAGACAGAGAGAGAGAGCAAGAGCGAGAGAGCGATCCAATATTCACCTACCCTGCAGCCCGGCTCCACATTCATAGTCATGAATCGCTTGCTCCTCGATATAGAGCGACGACTCGGACCTGTTACTTCCGATGACAATATGGTTGTAGCAATCCACATCAAAGGAGTTGATCATCGTCGCGTTCAAGCACGAGCCGAGGACGGTGGTGTGACTAAAAGGCTTGCTGCTTCTCGTTTTCTTGCCCTATCTGTCTCTCGTTTTCTCTCTCTCTCGCTCTCTCTCTCTCCCTCTCTCTCTCTCTCTCTCTCTCTCTCTCTCTCTCTCTCTCTTCTTTCTGTATCTCGTTCTCTCGTGTCGCGTATAATCTTCTAAACTGACTCGCATAAATCCTGGGCGGCCTTCTGTCCTAGTTGGTCCAGTTTAGTTTCGATGGCGCCGGCGACTCCGAGGTAACCGGGCAGAATTCCGTTGCTCGGAGCTAGTCCGTAGTACTGTAGATAGGGCGTGTAACATTGGACAATAGCTGCTTGGGTAGTAGCATCGCAGTCGGCGGCGACGAGTTCGAGGAGGGCGGCTAAACGGGAATTCGGTTTTGCGGTATGAAACAAGAGAGAGAGAGAGAGAGAGAGAGAGAGAGAGAGAGAGATAAAAAAACGGTGGCATTTTACTCACCTAGTAAACAGATTTTGAGCAGCATCTTCGTAAATCACCCAAGAAGCGGCTTCTTCTTGGACCTAGGCCTTAAAACAGGGCTGGAAGCGCAGATAACGTTATTTTTTCGCACCTCACATCACTCGGAGCTGACGGACTTATCAGCTTTTATCAGATTAAGCCAGAAACTGTCCTCGCCCTCATTGATTTATGACTTGGGAGGCCATAAAGCGATGGTTTCATAAGGTCAAAAATTCCGACATGCTGAATGTGCAAATTACTTGAATGACGATTAATTATTTCATTTTATTGAAAACTTCCATGGCTGGCCGAAAAATACAATTAAAATGGCCCGACTCCAAGGAGGAATTTGGGGTTGATGCGGTAGTTGGGGCACGGCGTCAGCTGGCCGTTATTGTCGCAGTAGTTGTAGACGCTGTCCTGAAAATCGGAGATTCACCTCTTGTTCAATGCGTTTTAGGGCCATTTCAGAAAAATCCGATAAATTCCACTCACCATCGCCTTGGTGTAGATGTTGCACATCAGCACACCGGCGTTGAAGTCGCACGCCTTGGCGTAGATGACCGAGTTGCAGGAGATGTACTTGTCGTAGGCCCTGGAAAATCAGGTATTAAAAGGATAAGGACAGAGAGTAGACAGCTGAACTGCTCGAGCTCGTCCCGTTTTTTTATATCCGGAAGATGACTCACTTGCAAACATTCATGCCGTTGTTGATGTCGTTGTTGAGATCAGTGTCGCATTGCTGAACACGGTATTATCGTTATCTCTCTCTATCTTTCTGTGTCTCTCTCTCGATCTCTCTCCCTCTCTCGCTCGCTCTCACACTCTCTCTTTTTCTTCCTTTCCAACCTGAAGCTTCTGCTGGTTGTTCTGACGAGCGGCGCGGACGCAATAGAACTCGGCGAGGAACACTGAAATTAAGAAGCTAATCATAGGCGAGAGTGTGAGAAATACAAAGACAGAAAGGGCGAGAGAAAACCAGGAAGAGAGAGACAGAGAGATAAACAACTTACCGGTAAGCCCGGCGTTGCACTCATAATCATGAATAGCCTGCTCCTCCATGTACATGTACGACTCGGTCATGTTGTTGGCCAGGACGATGTGGTTGTAGCAGTCGACATCGATCGGGTACATCGTCGCGTTCAAGCATGTGCCCAGGGAGTTTGTGTGGCTAAAATATGGGACTTAAAGAAGCGCTGAACTGCTTGAAGTCATTGTGCGAATCCGAAGACCGGTTCTGGCCTGGGGTTATCTTAAGCTTATGTTTAGCTTAGGCTTAATCTCTCGTTGAAAAACACTCACTCGCACATATCCTGCGCCGCTTTCTGCCCCATCTGGTCGAACTTGTTCTGGATGGCGACGGCCAGGTCCATGTAGCTAGGCAGGACTCCGCCGCTCGGCGCCAGTCCGTAGTACTGCAGGTAGGGCGTATAACACTGGACGATGGCCGCCTGGGTACTCGCATCACAGTCGGCGGCGACGACTTGGAACAGGGCAACTAAACTCAAGTTCGAACTTCTACGGTAAAGACCCGGAACTTCCAGAGCACACAAAAAATGTTCCCGCTTTTGGCTTTGGTGCGGGGGTGCGCCAAGTACCCGAACTTGGAGTACTTGGCGCACCCCCGAACGGCGGCATGAATACCCTGCGTTAATGTTGGTTTCTCTCGTCAGATCTCTCTCTCGCTTTCTCTTACCCTCTCTCTCGCTCTCTCTCTCGCTCTCTCATTCACTCTCTTTCTGTCGACTCTGGCAATTGTCATTTGCCAGGGTCGTCAATTGCTTCCCTTTAATGGGCCAGCATGTTCCGGCGGCGCATTGAGCGAGTTTTCAAGTAGATGAGGATGCTAGAGAAAATTGGGAAGCTGTCAAATTTTGCTTAAGCCCTGGCTTCGCTGTTACATTGGCTTAGAGAGCTCAAAGTGAAAATGAACAACACAGTATTGTGCAAAATTCAATTCTCTATCGAATGAGCTGGGTCTCGAATCATTTTGCCGATGACACCAAAAGGATACTCCTTGTTAGGCCTAGGTTTAGGCATAGGCATAGTTTTGGACTTAGGCTTAAGTCAGACTTTGGATTCGGCTTAGGCTTAAAGGCTATGTTTAAGGTTAGGCAGGTTTACGCTTTGCATAGGTATCGGCATAAGCCTGGGCTCCGGCGTAGGCTTACGTTCGGCTTAGGCTTGAGCTTAGGCTTGGGCTTGGGCTTTAGCTTCGGCTGAAATTGAAGCTCATGTGCTCCAAACACAGAGCCTCACCCTCAGCTTCGTTAAACCTGAGAATCCGTAAGATTTATCCCCGCTTCCCCGGCTTCAAATCGGCCTTTTTCGGCTTCTCCCCCACCCGGCAATTGCCCGAGTTCCGTCCTGGCGCGCCCGGCCGGCCCCGCGCGATCGAATAAGTTCGCGATCCCTGCGCCCCGCGCTGAGAGGCTGTCGAATTTGGAACCTGGCATAGCCTGCGGCGTGAGGAGGAGTTGAAGGAAGTGGTGCCGATGCGGCGGAAGAACTTATCAATCGGCTGATCGGAATGCCCTTGCCGCGCGGGGCGGGGGAGGCCGAATGTGCTAACCGGAAAGTACTCGCGGGGGTGTACGGTAGAAGTCACAAGGGGGGCGATTTAGGGAATTCATCGAGGGTATCGGAAGGACTTTATTTCAACCCCCACCGATACGGTTGAATAAAAAAGATTTGAGTACTGAGAAAGCAGTCTCTCTCTCTCTCTCTCTCTCTCTCTCTCTCTCTCTCTCTCTCCCTCTCTGCTTCTCTGGCACTCGCTCTCTCTCGCTCTTCTCCTTCACTCTCTCCATCTCACTCACTCTCTCAATCTTTCTCGTTCTCACTCGCTCTCAAGGTCCCGACTAAGTTGTTAATTCGATGCCCTAATGATGGTAACGCGCAAGGAGTAGTGTAGCGGAACTTGCCGATCCCCCATCTCACTCCAGAACTAAGCATGCTCGTTCGGAATTGACTTTTTTCCGGCCCGCGCATACGGCATGTAGGAGCTCCATCCTGTTTAGCGGAAGCAATTTCGATCCCTTGATCGGTCACGGCCCGCGCCGCTCAGAACTGCACCCCATCAAGTACACGCGCCCCGGTACCGTATGCCCTATTAGGGTACCGTAATCAGGGTACCATAATACTGTAGCATACGATATTTTCGGGATTCAGAACTTCATAATGAGTCTTTATTTCTATTGCAAATTTCAGGCGATTAGCAAATTAGTAATCAGTTTTTTTCTGCCTGACGCCTGTTTTTCGAAAAATGTTTAAAATGGCCAGAATGCGCTTGATTCTACCTCTTGCTCGACTGGGTCAAGACACTTGCGCTAAGAGACATGAGATGGGTTGATTGGTAGTTATAGGATATTAGATTCTCCATAACCGGACGGCTTAAGGCCCTGTGCCAAAATTTGGAGGATGACACAGGACCCTAGCTCGTGCCCTAACTGATGTTCTCTCTTTCTCTCGTTGCTTCGGTCGCTCTCTCACTCGCTTTCTCTCTATATCTCGCTCTCCCTTTCTCGGTCTGTCGATCTCTCGTTCCCTCCCTCTCGCTCTCACTCTCCTTCACCCTCATTTGCCTAAGCTTACTTCGTTAAAAGTCCGAAAAAAATTTTTAGACAAAAGTTGCCAATACAGACGCCCAGCCCAATTTGCCAATTCGATTAATACGCAATTTAAGTTATCGAGAAAGCACACGCTCAAGATGAGGCTCATGCTCAATGGCAAACTTTACCCTACCTCATTGGATTTTTATAGGCTAGGCTTGTTTTAACCCACCTGCAACGAGAACCTTGGCGAACATGCTGCTAGCTTCTGACGATTAGAATTGGTGACTGTTCCAGGGCTCCCTAGTTTTATACGTAAGATGCTCAACGCGGGAAGGGCCGCGATAAGGGCCCAGAAATCATCTAATCCCCTTTGCCGACTTCATTCAGCTTCGCTGCTCGGGGTGTTATCACCATGCCCGTGCGTATAGTTGACCAGGCTTTGAGGCTGAAGAACGTTTCGGTGGACGACTTCGAAATCGGTTGAGTCATTGGGGGATGACTTATTGGATTGGCTTATCATCTGATCCGGGAGGCTAAGCTTGATGCGTTATTGTTGAACCCTGAAGGGCAGTGTGGTGTATTCGTGTGTTTTCGCAGCTAGATCTGAGTCTACTTTGTTTGGTGTAGTTTCGGAATTACTGATATTTTCCGAAAATTGAACAAGAAAACTCTTGAAACGCTGAGGCTTCCGGAGGTGCCTGCGCCCATAGGCTGCTGAAGCTTCCGAAACTCAAGTTTCCCAGAATTACTCTAGCGTAGGCTTCGAAAGCTTCTTCGATTTCAGGCTTCGCATTCTTGTTCAATTGCAACCCTGCGATCTCAGGCTTTCGGAGCCGGTCGTTCCAGATTTTCGAAGCCATCCCGATGTGAAGCCTCCCAGAGCAGAAGCGGCCAGGCTTAGCTCTATCGATTCTAAGATTTTAAGCTGCTTCGCTAGTCGGTCTTCTCAGCTTGTTGAATCGCCAATTTCCGAAGCTTCGTCGGCTTTAAAGTTTTCAAATCTCAAGGAAAGCGAGTCTTCAAAGGCATCACAAGCTTTCCAGCTTCAGCTTCCTAAAAATTCGGAAGCTTCAGAAATCGCAGCATTCGCAGCCGTTTTTCAATTCGGGGGACCGCCCCCCATACAAGGTATCGACCTAAACTACAATCCGGCACAGTTAAGGCTGTAAGTAACCTTAAGCCGAGATTTAAGTCAAACTTGGTTCATCGCACGACCTCTTCGTCCTTGGTACGTATCAGTTGAATTCGACAACATCCCCTTCCCGACCATTCTGCTACAGTTAGTCCCGCTCCTTGGTGCCACCATAAAAACGATCTCCTCCCGTCGCCGTTGGCAATAACAAGTCACAAAATACCAGTCCTGAAAGTTGCCACCCGGGGGCAACAACACTTTAGCCGGCCCGCTCGAAACAAGCAAGGTGAAAAGCGACAGGGAGGCTAAAAAAACGTCCCACCACAACCACACCACGAG